TCGATTGTGAAAAAGGACCTTCATCAGAAGAAGGGTGGAGACAGAGAGTAGCTTCTGAGGAGCACTGAGAGCCATCTCAGATATGAACCGCTGATCATGTATGGAGGGCAGGTGGGCAGGTGGCCTCTTTTTAGGTTTGAGAAGGAGTTATATTTTCATGAACCTGTTTGATTTAGGAAACAAGCTTAGAAGAGGTTTGTGGTGGTGCTGGTGACCTTAGGAAACCCTTGGCAAAGCCGTTTCAACCTGCTTAAGGACTCTTCTCCGTCTCTAGGTGACCTCGCTCCTCTGTTGTCCCAAAAAGAAAGCCATGCTGCGGCACCCGAAAAAGTAAAATGTTTACAGCAGGGGCCACTGTCGACTTTGCCAGATGGGTGAAACTGTGGAATCCATCCATTCCGTGGGATGCAAAGCAGAAAAAAAAAAAGGGAAAATTGAGAAGCAGGATTAATGTGGGATTCTAACGTGTCCCACAGCCAGGGGAGAGGCCTTCCAATGGAATGGGTGAACTTTTCCACCACTCCACCCTGTGGACTATGGAGAAGACTAGAATGAAGGGATTTTATCCATGGGGTAGCAGATCCAGGCTGAGAAGTCCTTCCTTGCTGTTGTTGGTAGATCAGCCTCTAAGGGGGGGTCATGGACTTTCTGTCCTTGGAGGTCCAAGCCAGGGTGGGGAAAGGCCCATTGGGGAGACTTTACATCACGCCACTTCAGGGTTCAGGAACAGACCAGAAGAGCCCTTGGATTTCTCTTTCTGCCCCATAACAGTCTGACTCTAAATGCCCCCTCGGATTGCAAGGACATCCCCTGGCAGGAGGGCAGAGGTTCCACTTCCTAGCCCGCCCCCCTGCTGCCCCCCAGCACTCCAGAGAACCCAGAAGCTGGGCCAGGGACTCACCGGAGTTTCTGCTCCTCGCCCTCTGCAGAGCCAGACTGAGCCTGGTCTCAAATTCCGGCAAAAGAGGGGTGGGAATGGAGTCTCCTTGGGGCCTCCCCCTCCTGGAGGTAGCCCTGCAGCCTGGACAGACCGGCTGGTGCCAAAGCCGTTAGGGAGTTAATGAAGCAGAGAATTTGGTGGCGGCTGGATGGCTGGACTCTCCCGGGGACACCCCTGGTGTTCTTCCAGAGCCAGGCTGCGTTCAACCCTTGCCTGGCCACAGCTCCTGTGCGCAAAGTAGGGAAAATGCCGTTACCGAAAGAAGCAGACAGACGCCTGCTGGGAACAGAGAGGGTTTCTCTAGACTGAGCGGCTGGGCTGTGCCCAAACGTCTTCACCTCTGAATTTTAGAACTACCCAGCGCAAACAGACCAGTGGACAAGGGCAGGAAGCAGGAGACCCTGGCCAGGGAACTGAGCTGGCTATGGGGGGGCAGAGCCTCCTGGGAGCTGCTCTGGTTGCAATCCAAGGGTGGGCTGAGTTCGGAAGCTCCAGAGGCCCCGAGAGCAGAGCTAGCAGTGACCCAGGGTGCCTCTTCCACATCAGCCTCCTTCGGTAGCCCAAGAAGGCAGCTGGTAAGAAGAGGCCAAGGCAGGGCCAGCTGACTACAGAAACCGGAGGAAGTCCAGCTGGTGGGCGGAGAGGAAAAGCTACCAAGGAAGCCCCAAGAGCAAGAGGCTTGAGCACGGGGGGGGGGGGGGG